GAATTGCAAACATCAAATTACGAAATATAAAAAAGTTCCTCACACGTTATAAACCAGAGTTTTGTTAACTGATGCAAGTTTCAACTTAAAACCTGAAGAGCAGTTTAATACACCCGATTCGTCCATTTGGTACTTGTAAAATTCAATTCGCAGTTCCCTTTCTTTCGTTGTATGTTTTCGTTAAAAGACATTCGATAAATAATTTTATGATTAAAAGACTACGCATGAAAAGTGTTAAAATATTAAATGTTTCTGTATAAAGTTTTTTAATGTTTGAATTACTTCTTTTCAATCCCAAACAATGCGTTTGTTAACGTTTAAATACAAAACGAACCGCTTTTCATGTTAATCAACTTGTAGCAGACCAAGAAAAATTGTCATAAATATTTAAATAAGGAGACATTTCCGTCGATGTTCACACTTGTCAAAAGTGAAAAAAAAAAAAAAAAAAACTTTTGAAGTTGAAAAGTTTTGTGTTTGAAAGATTTGCGTTATTCTCACCGACCTAAGCTGTCAGAAATCGATCCTAAGTAAAGGCTAGAATGTCAATGCTTATTTACCAGGAAAAAGAGACTATTTCCACCATCTTATGCCTATTAGTCTTCTTTCTTTTACCCGAGAGCCACTCGAACTAGACGGTTACATTAGGAGGCAATTTATGCGGATCGGAATCGAAGATAACGGTTTACCCGAGCCTTGAACAGGTTAAGACTGTAGGGGGGGGAAGCATCTTCTTGGGAGTCGGTTCCACAGAGAAGTGGTTGGCGGGAAGAAGCTGTTGGAGTGGAACTTACTTCTCATTGATGGAATGCGGAGGGAATGTTGGTAGTTTGCTATAATGTGAGTGGTATGAGTGGTATGGCGGATTCTTGCTATGAAGGTTGAAACTGTCATGACCAAGGCACGTAGTTCAACCGAACACTTTCTGTGAAAGTAGCGATAAAGCAGCAAGAGATTTACCACATTCGGCCTGTAGAAGAGAGAGAGAGTGAGAGAGAGAGAGGTTGGAGGGTGGAAAATAATTCGTCACCCACAAGCTTGCGACTAATTAAGCTAACCCGACGATATCAGGCGCGAAAACCGTGGCTCGATGACTAAAAAGGTTGTCACATAACAAATTACAATTTGCGCTGAGTTTAATCCACGCCCTGTGAACTTCTCAGCCAAACTTATAAAATGACTTCTTTCTTTCTTTTTATGTGTCATGTCTTTTCAGGACGTAGGCGATCATGGATCTCCACTTCTCCCTCTGTCCCTTGCAGCTTTCAACAAGTTCCTTTTCTCTCCTTCCTCCCCCAGACCACATTCTGTCATCCACTTGCTTAAAGCCGCTAGGTATGTCATGCCCTTGTCTCTCTTTCTCTCTATTCGACCCGTGAGTATCAGATTCTCCAGGCCCTTCTTCCTCATTATGTGTCCCAGAAACTTCAGCTGCCTCTTCCTGATATTAAGTATAAGCCTCCTCCTTGTTTGCATCCTCTCTAAGACTTCATCGTTGCTCACATACTTGGTCCATATTTTTAGCATCCTTCTGTAGAACCAGATCTCTGTCGCCTTGAGTCTCTTCTTCAACTTTGAGGAAGTCGTTCAACATTCGCTGCCGTAAAGAAGAACAGATGTCACGCAACAGTTTAGCATTCTTTTCTTTGTTACCAAAGAAATCCTCCTGTCATGCAGTACCCTGCCCAGCTTTTAGAATATGTCCTTGGCCATCCCAATATGCCCACAGATCTCAGTGTCACACTAACCATCCTCTATAACCAACCTTTTCTCTTACCTTCACTTTCCGTAACCCCCTGTATACTAGTGGGTGAAATGAAAAAGCATCTTCTCTAAGACCTCATCGTTGCTCACACACTCGGTTCATGATATCCTTAGCATCCTTCTGTAGAATCACATTTCTGTCGCCTTGAGTCTCTTCTTCAACTTTGAGGAAATCGTCTACGTGTGTCCTTTGCATTCTTTTAAATCCAACGATTGTTTAAGAGATATATTTTTCTGGCTATTTGGTGACGACATTTTTTGCTTCGTTTAGTGATTTAATGGGACTAAAATCAAACGATTGACTACACTGATCAGAACTTTGTTTTAATAATTACGAATATTCTATTCACATTACAGAAACATCTCCCTTACTTCAGACATAGGTTGCTGGTATTTAAGCTATGAAATTGTATAACTGTCTGGATTTCAAAAAGCAAAATTCGATTTTTTGATATCTAAAAGTACTGGAAAGTTTAAAAAATGTAAAATAGGTTTGAGGGTAATAAGACATTTTAAAATTTATGTGATCGAATATAGATCCCTTTTTTTATTTCTTTTTTGAAAACCAAGGCATTTGAAATCGTTTGTTGAATTAGAAATTAAAAAATATTAAAACAAAAAGAAAGAAAATAAGAAAGATGGGAAAAGAAACAAAATAAAAAAATCATATATTAGAGCATATCGAAAACCATTCTTCCATAAATTGGAACTAATGGTAAAACATCCGAATTTTCCATGTCCTTATCAATGCACTATCACTCTCACTCTCTCTCTCTCTTATATATATATATATATATATATATATATATATATATATATATATATATACGCGTGTGTGTTTTGTGTATGTTTGTCTGTGTGTTTGTCGACGCGTATTGTCTAAGCTAAATTAAAATTTTCTGTTTCTTCTCTATTCTGTTTGTCTTTATTTTCTGTTTATTGACATTGTTCTTTTTTACAGATATAATCTATCTGAAATCTTATATACATACATATATATATATATATATATATATATATATATATATATATATATATATATATATATATGCTTAAATAATTGTCATATTTATAGGGAAAGTGTGCTCATTATTGGAGATAGAGTTTTCATAAATAACGCTAACGAGAGGAACATATGGATCAACAGTGCCTGGGGACAATCAGTTACACGCTCCAATGTGATATCCAGACCACACACACACACACACACACACACACACACACACACACATATATATATATATATATATATATATATATATATATATATATATGTTAAGAAATGGACAAGGTCCGACAATTTATTTATTAAAGACATTTTTTTATTCAGGCCGGTAAATTTAATACTGTTTATCATAAACAGAGCATTTGCTTAAATACTTGTATCTATAAAATAACAACGTTAAACATAAAAAATGTCTTTAATATATATATATATATATATATATATATATATATATATATATAAAAATTGACACTGAGGTCAACATTGAGCGGCGAAATTTTGTTTCATGCTTAAAAGCAATCTTCAGTCCTGAAGATCTCGTTCAAGCATGAAAAAGACTGTCTCTGTTCGGTGTTGACCTCAGTGTCCACTATTATATTTACATAAATTCTATCTCTGACATTGAACATTTTCACCCATAAATATAGCATAGCTTAAAACTATATTTTCATTTATCATATATATGTATGTGCGTGTGTGTGTGTGTGTGTGTATGATACTAGAATCTAGAATCCAGCCAATATAAGGTTTCAGAGCCACTAAAGGTAGAAGGATACTAAATGAAGTGATTGATATGAATGGTAGGAAGCGAAGACCATGAGAATAACTTTGGTAAAACAAACAAGTCCGTATTTAAAATGCGACAGATATTGTTAAATTCCCCCAAAGACTGTCGCACTGGTGTTGGCCGACATTTTTGGCTGGGAATTCCAATATTTCAAGCCTAATTTGGAGACTAAGCAAAAGCCAAGCAATCCATCTTCTTTAATGCTCCCCAAATGATTCATACGGAAAAAAGATATTTACATTTAATCTGCATATTGAGAGATTTAATGGCTGGTTACATTAATCCTTAAGAAAGAGATTAAAAAGCCTTACAAGATCACGTGACAACACAATTTTGTTAATTGATATATGTTTTCAATGCAGAAAACTTATTTAGTGGTTGAAAAAGTTGTGCATTTCTTACCAGAAGCAGTTGTTCTATTCATTGGTTGATTAATGCTTTGTTTTACGGTTTATCAACCTTTGTGGGTTATTTAAAGCCGAATCATATCTTGGATTTTAAGAATAATACTTTCTTTTTTTGCAGGTGAATTTTACATTAAATATATTTTTGAAGATAATAATAATTTTTCAAGGTAAAAGTGCTACAATTTAATCCATAACTGGGGGGAGATGAGATTGATTCATAATTTACGCACTGCACGTAAGTGAATCACTCCCAGATTCTCGAAAGTTCATATTGGCTCAGTTTTGTATCCGAACATCAACAAAGCAATTTCTAAAGAAGTAATGGATTTTTCTTTTATTAATCCGACATATTTTAACTCTTTATTTTCAGTAGATACCCATATTTTAGTAAACGCTCTGTTTATTCATTAAACGTAAGTCGGCTGGAATTCGAACTGCTCTCCGATTTTTGATTCCGAATCGCTATCCATTGCAACAGCCGCACCTCCGCAATGGTTACAACTCAGATAAAAGCCTCAACCTCGTATACTGAGTTTCAAAGCAGGCAGACCCTAACTACTTGGAAAACATACAAAATATAAATTCCTGCGCAGCAGTTTATAGATTTTTACTGGACTAAGCCATTTTTATAAACCTATACGTATCTCCCACCTCTTCTTTCATCCTTTCTTTATTTCGTTACAAAAAAAAAAAGAAAAAAGGCTGTCATCTATATGTAAGAATGTATTAAGTGATGAAAGTAACGGCTGTTGGTTGATTGATTTTACTTAGTTGCATATCAAACTCTATAGCCTATTTAATGCCGAAATTTTAATAATTTGTACACAATTCTTTTTTTTTTTTTTGTAGGGGAGATAATGATTTTTAGAGATACAAGTCTTACTAATTAACCCATAGTTGGAGGGAGGAGAGGTAGATTCATACCTTTCCCAAGAATATTTGTTCGTAAGTGAATATAACAAACCCAACTGGAATTGGAACTCCGATTAACACTTTTGAGTCATTAGCTATTATTATACCTACCACAAATCCAAACTTACAGCAACTGGTATTCCCAACCAGTTACCCATCTAGGTACTGACCAGGCTCGTCGTTGCTTAATTTCGGTGATCTATGGGAACGAGCGTTTCAACATGATGTAGACATAAGCGATGACAGAAAGTATTTCTGAATTCATTGTAATTCACATAATCGTTATGGTTAGCATTAATCCGCTTATCCCTTGTGAAATCTATCTGAGGATTACTTTACAATAATGTCTTTGAAAAGGTTCGAATTCACTTATCTTTAATTCTTTTCTATCGCCAGGCATCTTGACAAATTCCCATCACCTGATATGACACAATGACTTTGTTTCCACTTAATACCACAATAGTTGTCTACAGTTTCTTTGATATCTGCAAATTGGACTTGGAAATATAGAGCAGTTGTTTTCTCTTGCCTTGAACAGATTTTAAGTCCATCTTCTAGACTGAGTTCCGACGAAAGCCGCCGTTCTCACTCTGCCCTATATTATAACCCATAGTTGGAGGCCACATTGATTTGTAAATAAAATGTAGGTGGGCGATCCTTGCAGCAATCACATCTATCTTAACTGGCTAGTAATCAAAAAGCACTTATTTTCATTAGCATCCTTGATGAAAGACTCCCTGGAATTGAATCCATAGCAGTGTTCGTTTCCTCTAAACCGTTTCCTATTTCACTAAGCGTTTTCTATGTTTGGCAAAATAACATAATTTTCTCTGAGAATTTATACCATTATCTTTCACTCTCGCACCTACTGCCCGATTAATAACATTTTCATCATTAATACAACGCAAATGACTCTTATCTGTATACTTTTATTATTCCAAAAGATTGTTCTCGTGTTGATTGTTATCTATGTTATTATAGATAAAAACGTTTCGACAAGTACATTCTGGACATCCTCAGAAATACATTGTTTAGTTAATATGGGATGTCTTTTGATTATTGCGTTATTTTGTCCCTGTCAAACCATTTGTTCTTTGCTCCTTGTGAAATATATTGATTCACTACCTGATCAAGGGATTGAACTCGAAATCACAGGATGTCAGTAACACAGGTTTAACTAACTCATATGTCCATATGCTACAGTAGTGATTTCATGGATATAAGAGTAGCGTCTTTTTTTTTGGTGGGGGGGGTCATAATCGAACGTCTCTTGGTTTCGACAATTATTTATCATGACGGGTTCATATTGGTTTTTGATAATCCACATCTCATTTTTGAGAGGATTAATTGGGAATATGCTCTAATAATCTTTTAATAATAATATTTAGTAATAATTTTGGACTGTTGTTCTCATCTTAATTCTTATAGATGTTATAATAGACACAATGTTTCGACCAATACTCTCTGGCCATCATCAGGTATCCATCGTTTGAATGATTCATAAATGCTTCGGTATTTTCATGTATTAAATTTAAGAAAAAAAAATGTCAATTTAATTCAAAATGTAAGAATGTCAGCCGATGTCGTTTAGTGAGATTTCTGCTCTACAACATTTAATCCTTCCCAGCAGGCGAAGAATATAGAATTTGTTTTAATCATCACGAATAAACGTTTCGATAAATGTATAAAGAATTTTAAAATAAAACTAAAAAAAAAAAAAAAAACAACATTTAAATGGAATAATTGTTTGTCGAGTTACGGGAAATTTTCAATTGAATTCGATTATTAAAGCCGTACATTTTGTTTTTCTTGTAAATTGTTTCTTATTCATATAATTTAAATACGAACTTAAAAGTAGCTTTGGGCTATTTTTGGTTAAGTTCAAATTTTACTTCCATACTGAGCGAGATACGTTAATGTGTTTCCCAAAGGGTTACATTTAAAAGGTATTTTCCCTCAATGAAAAAAATGTTTAAACGATTTATGTTTCATTTTATTTTCTACATACAACGTATGAAAGCACGTGCGATATGCTGCCGTCGTCAACCGCCAACCGGGGAGGTAAGACAGTTTCGGTGGCTATGGATGTACTGCCACCCCAGGCGCCACCAGTTGATTTTGCCAGTAGACACTATGCTGTTATTTTATATAGATGTGTCAGTCTCTCGCGATTTCTTCCCAACTGTAAGTACGATTTTCAACTTTGTGTTAAAAGGGCTTGCTTTTGATCGTTAACCAATACACAACGCAGTTGTAGCGACCGTTATCAATAACGTAGAATGGAACGTAAACAAATGCGTTTTACATCGGAAGTAGTATTGCGTTGCGAGCATGGTTTTAATTAACTTCATTTATATTGAATCTTGACCAGATCCAACTCGATGCCTATTGAGTGGTGGTCTGGAGACGATGTGGGTGGAGCCCGCGATTGGGGGATGTTAGTTGATCTTAGATCAACTCAGAGAATTCCGGTACGCATCACTCAGACAGACACACGCCCTGACATTGTAGCGTAGACTGATTCAAAGAAGTGTCTCCTCCTAGCAGAATTAACGATTCCATGGGAGAAGAACAGGGACAAAGCGCATTAGAGAAAGAAAAACCGCTACGAATCGCTTCGATCCGACTGCGTGGAAAACGAGTGGACATGTCATGTGCTACCTACTGTGGTCAGGTGCCGTGGATTCCTTGAAGAGTCAGTTGTTACCTTCGTTTTGAAGGCGGGTATCACTCAGTAGCGTAATGTTGGGAGTTAATTAGGTCTTTAGCACAGGGCGTTCACCTTCCTTGTAAAAAACGGATCTTAGGTTCTCTGGACAATACAGGCTGTTTGTTGGTTGCTTCAGACTATGTACTGACTAAGTCCATGGCCACTTTCTACACTTTTTTATGACGCCACGTGTACATCTGCAGTGATTTTGGGTATGCAGAGAGCACGTGACGTAAATTGCCTCGATTTCACATAATGCGCCTACATCGGTTTCAATGTACCCCCACAGCTTGAGGTCGGTCGCGTTTGGTAGAATATCATAGGTAGATCCCAGGAGGAATGGCTCCATTGGAATCAGGGTATTCCATGATAGCTTCATCGGATCAATATTACTCCATATAATCCAAGCACTTTGTTTGGACTGGGAAACAGCAGTAGCTGTTCGCCGCACTTTCTCGAAATTCCTCTTTTTTTCTCTTTGGATCCTGTTTGAAGAAAAACTGGTTGCTTGTGCTGCCTAGCTCAATTGGTTCGGGTCACCCCCAAAATCTCCTTGGTTCTCAGGCTGAACTCTGCTTCTACTGCCGATCATTTGGTACCAGTTTTGATATCTGCCTTTTACATTCGAACGAACTTATCGGCTGAATCCCTCATCATCATGTGAAGGACTAAATTCCTGACCTTGAATTCCTCCTCCTCCAATGAAGAGATTGGAAGTTGCAGGTTTCTGGCGTTGGTATAGAATCCCATTGTGGAGAAGTAGAGGGAAACTCCAAGCCAATTTGCGAAGGTACTTGTTGATACACTGTGTGCATCTACTGAATGCAAGACCGAATAATATCATACACCTGCAATGGCCACAGAAGCCGGGGAACCAACCCATGTTGATAGTACCAAGAAACCTTCGCTGCATTCTACGATGCCGCCGAATCAATCGTGTGCCCACAGCCACTCCACGCCGTCGCCTGAGTCTCTGTCCTCTTCCACCTGTCCTGCTCCAGCGTCGTCTCCGATGGTTCGGGCATGCAACTCGACGCCCGGGGGGGAGCTCCTGTTGTACGTCGAGTTTGCAACCTTTAATCTCGGTGAACAGATTTTTAGCAAAAATGTAAGGATTATTGTAAAATGATCTTCGAGACTGTCGCTTTTTCTTCCAACATTTCCTTTGGTTCTCAGCTCTAGAGATCACTAAGATCATTTCTTTATATCTCCTTAAGCAGGTCTTTAAGGCCTACACTCTCATGAATTAGTGCTTCTTTGAGTCGGCACTTCAAAATTCCCTGCTCTGATTATAGTTTACCCTTCTAAATCTGTCGTCCATTTGGTCGATTCTTTTTTTCTTATCCCCTCTTTGCTACATCAAACCACTCAAGATGAACTTCTTGTCCACCTCTGCAGAAAGATTTCATCTGCTGCCTAATGAGACTCTTTAGATGCTTAGTAAGTAATAATGATTTCCTGGTTCAGATTCGACCAAGTAGCTCTCTGCTTGCATTTGGATCATTGGTTTCTTGGCTTGTCTGGAATTTCTCCAGGGTGCTGACGCTCAGCAATCGCACCCTGAACAGGTTTAATACGGATTCATAATCCCATCATTCGAATTATATTCTTCAACAGGGAAATTCTGTTGCCTGCAAGAGCGGATCTTATGGATATGTAAACCACGCAGGCTGTTGAATTTCCTATGTTTTGTCTTCCTGTCAAAAGCGGAGTGTTATTATTGATGAATAATTTCACATTATCAACCGTAAATGTATCAGAGAATCCATAGATTATGGATTAAATAGAATTATTTCTTCTTTTACTTTCTAAAATTACAAAAAAAAAATAAAAGTTATTAATTCATCTAATAAATAATATATAGAATGACTTCTGTTCTGGAATGTAACACATTTGATCACGAATTAACGAAAAAAAACTATATTCCGGATAAATGAAAAAAAAAATTAAATCTTCCTCGTTTCGATTTTCAAATAAAAACGTTTCTTTCTTTAATCATTTTTCTTTCTTCTTTTACTTCTTTTATTTTTTCTTTTCTTTCTTTTTCGCCATTATTCTTATACAACTTCTTTCATTTTTTCTTTTCCTTTTCCTTTTCTTTTTTCCTCAAGGACACATGGCACACTGAATAAAGGCGTTGGTTAGATCAAGTGACAGGACCCAAAGAGTGTGAGTTCAATATTCGGTTAAGGCAGTGGAGAACTTTCAGAGGGAAATTAACAGGAGATAACTGATAACTGAGATCTATTAAACATGGCATGTGGAACTAGAACAGTCTACCCCAGTGAGCGAAATGAAGGGTTAAGTTAGACATTCCAACCACATGAAGAAGGCCGGAGCGTACAACGGCCGAAAAGTTGTAATAGATATGGCGACAAAGATGAGGACAATACTCCGAATAATGTAAATAATGTACATAATACCTCATCTCAGAAATATAGACAGATACTTTTTTTTTTTGTTCTTAAATGCAATCAGCGCGGTCTGATGATTGCATTTAAGCACAAAAAGTCT